TCCACCAAGGTCTTAAATCCTTTTCTTGCTCATTCAGATACTCATAGATTTGCTTTTGCAGGGGTGGAGTAAATGGGGTTGTTTGTTTGTTTGTTTATTGAATTTATTTTTTTGAATGGTGGTGATGCAGGAAAACCAGATGTGGCGTGTGAGGAGGGCCGTGTCCCAGGTCTTGGTGGAGCCCCTGGGACGTGCCCTGCCAGGTGTGGGTCCTTGGCTTCGCACAGGGAAGAATTCAAGAGTGAGCCACAGTTGAGTAAAGGTAGATTTATTTAGAAAGATACATACTGCATAGAGTGTAAGGCAGGAGAAAGGCAAGGAAAGAGGTGTGGGAACTGGATGGTCAGGTTAAAGTCAAAGTAGGTTCATGCTCCATAGACAGAGCACAGGCCGTCTCCGAAGGGGGTGAGGGAAAAAGTGCAGCCAGGCACGGTGTTGCCAGTTTTTATGGGCTCAGTAACTTCACACGCCTACAGGTGGGACCATTCCAGCTGCCCTGGGGAAGGGGCTGAGAGTACCAGGAACTGGGCCAGCGCCCACTCTTTGACCTTTTGTGGCTAGCCTTGGAACTGGCATGGCGCCTGCGGGCGTGTTATTGATCATGCTAATATGTTATGATGAACATATAATGAAGCTTAAGGTCTACTAGAAGTCATACCGACCACCATCTTAATCCTCAAGGCCAACTGATAGTTGAATCTTCTGTCATTTTGGTGTTAATTGCTGTCATTCCTTGAATGGCTGTGCCCTGCCCCCTTCCCTCCTGTCTTACCAGGTCTTCGTTGAGTCCAAGTGAGGGTCCTTGGCTTCGCACAGAAAAGAATTAAAATGCACGTCATAGTTGATTAAAAGTAGATTTATTTAGAGAGGTGTACACTCTGTATGCAGAGTGCAGGCTGTCTCAGAAGGCAAGAAAGAGAGCGGCCTTGGTTTGCTCTTTAAAAAAAAATTACTGTGGGTCACACTACTGCCTGTTTCTTTTCATTTTTCTTCAATGCTTCAGAATTGTCTTCTAGAGATGGCCTTAATTTACCGTCTCACACGCCTCTCTCACTGTTGACCTTGAGAGTGCCATTACTTGCCTTTGGGGACAGCTTTTCGTTGTATGTGACGTTAGTAATTATGCTTTCTGACATTTTCTTCTGTCGACTGAAATAAATGCACAACTTTCAGTCCCTGCTTCGGATGAGTTGGCCCTTTCTTCTGTTACATGCTTCCAGTTAGGTGCATGTATCTGCCCCCCAAACTGAGCATAAAGAATTGAATTATAGACATTTACTCTTTGTAATGCTAAAGCTCATTCAGGATGGCTGATGCTACAGTAGTTTTCTGTACATAAATAAATTGGTGTTTCGAGCACACTGGCTAATAGGGGAAAGAGAAAGCTGGGAGATTAGCGAGGATTTATAGATGAAGGATACTAAGAATCTAGACTTAGAAATACTTCTTTTCAGCCACATAGTTTGTCCCTTTGTTCTTCTGACACCTTATAATGTAGTTTTGGTTTGAATCTCATCTTCCCCAGTTACTAAATATTTGGTTTGGGCAAATTACTTAACTCTTCTGTGGCTCAGTTTCCTCATCTGTGAAATAGGGACAGTAGTAATACCAACAGCAAAGTATTGTGATGATGTTTAAATGAGGTGACATAGAGCTTAGAATAATGCCTGGCATGTCTAAATGCTAGTGTTTATCATACAGTTAAATGTAACATAAGTGCTCGTTTTATTATTGCATATTATTATATATAAAGAGATTATAACACATCTAGTCATTCATGTTTTATATATTTATCTATATTTATTATCCTATTTATATAGAACCTCTCCCATTTCTCTGTGTTTTACCTTAAATCCACTTTGTGTATTGTCCCTCCTACATTCTGTTAACTGTTCTTTTGTGTGTTTTATTTTTTCTTTTTTAGATCAGAGTATTGGTTTCGAAACATCACAACAGGGGATGTCTGAAGAAGTTTCTGTCCATTTTGAGAGAATGAATCTCTTCACAAGAGATGACCCATACTCCGTTCTAGAAGAATTGTGGCCGGATGGTGAACAGACAGGGAAATGTGAGGAAAACCAGAACAAACAGTTAAGTCATGTCACCTCCATCGACAAAGACACACTAGCTAATGAGGACTATGAATATAATGACAGTGGGAAAATATTTCATGTAAACACATACCTTGTTCCTCGAAGAAGAGGACTCCATAATTATGACTCATTCCGAAGGAGTTTGAAGCCAATTGTAAGCTTATGTAGTTGTAATAGAAACAGTGCAACAGAAAATTTTGATGAAATTATTCAATATGGTAATATTTTCCCTCATGTGAATTCTCATGCAGAGACAAATACCTGTGAATATAACCAGTATAAGAAACTGCTGAGTCAAATGCAAGTTCTCATTCAACATCAGAAAATTTATGCTGGGGAGAACCTCTGTTTGTTTTCTGATTTCATAAAACTTTTCACCCATAAATCACACCTTTTTGCACATCAAAGGATTTATGCTGAAGAGAAACATCATGAGTGCAGCAACTGTGAGACAGTCTTCTCTCAGAAGCCCCAACTTGCTGTGCCCCAGAAGGTTTATACAGGAGCGAAACCCTTTATATGCACTGAATATGGGAAGGACTTTTCCCTCCGTTCAAACCATGAGGAAACTCACACTGAAGAGACTGCCTGTAAATGCAGTGCGCATGGGAAGTCCTTTATCCAGAAGTCAGATCTGTTCAGACATCAGGGAATGCGTCCCGGAGAGAAAAAAACCTATGAATATGGTGAATGTGGGAAAAATGTGTCTCAGAATTCAAACCCCAATGGACATAAAAAAGTTCGTACTGGAGAGAAACACTTTGAATGTACTGAATGTGGAAAAGCTTTCACTAGGAAGTCAACACTCAGTATGCATCAGAAAATCCATACGGGAGAAAAACCCTACGTATGTACTGAATGTGGGAAAGCCTTTATCCGAAAGTCCCATTTTATTACACATGAGAGGATTCATACTGGAGAGAAACCTTACGAATGCGGTGACTGTGGGAAGTCCTTTATAAAGAAGTCACAACTCCATGTGCATCAGCGAATTCACACAGGAGAGAATCCCTTTATATGTTCGGAATGTGGGAAGGTCTTCACCCACAAGACCAATCTCATTATACACCAGAAAATTCATACTGGTGAGAGACCTTATAGATGTACTGAATGTGGGAAGGCCTTTACTGACAGGTCAAATCTCATTAAACACCAAAAAATTCATACTGGGGAGAAACCATATAAATGCAGCGACTGTGGAAAATCATTCACCTGGAAGTCCCGGCTCAGGATACATCAGAAATGTCACACTGGAGAGAGACATTACGAATGCAGTGAATGTGGGAAGGCGTTTATTCAGAAGTCAACACTGAGTATGCACGAGAGAATTCATAGAGGAGAAAAGCCCTATGTTTGCACTGAATGTGGGAAAGCCTTCTTCCACAAGTCCCATTTTATTACACATGAGAGGATTCACACTGGAGAGAAACCTTATGAATGCGGTGACTGTGGGAAGTCCTTCACTAAGAAATCGCAGCTCCATGTCCATCAGCAGATTCACACGGGGGAGAAACCCTACAGATGTGCTGAATGTGGCAAGGCTTTCACTGACAGATCAAATCTCTTTACACACCAGAAGATTCATACTGGCGAGAAGCCCTATAAGTGTAGTGATTGTGGGAAGGCCTTCACCCGGAAGTCAGGCCTCCACATCCATCAGCAGTCTCATACTGGGGAAAGACGTTATGAGTGCAGTGACTGCGGGAAAGCCTTTGCAAGGAAGTCGACACTAATTATGCATCAGAGAATTCACACAGGAGAGAAACCTTACATTTGTACTGAATGTGGGAAGTCCTTCATCCAGAAGTCGCACTTAAATCGGCATCGGAGGATTCACACTGGAGAGAAGCCCTATGAATGCAGTGACTGTGGGAAGGCCTTTATTAAGAAGTCACAACTCCATGAACATCATCGAATTCACACAGGAGAGAAACCGTACATGTGTGCTGAATGTGGAAAGGCCTTTACCATCAGATCCAATCTTATTAAACACCAGAAAATTCATGCGAAACAGAAATCCCGTAAATGCAGTGACTTTAGGAAAGCCTTCAGCTGGAAGCCACAACTCGGTATTCATGAGAAGCCTGACGCTGGGGAAGTAGGATGCCTAATGCCACAGTCATGGCGTGGGGATGCAAAGTTGTGAGAAGCTATAGCTTGACTGAGAAGCAAGAGGTAAGGAAAGTCAACTTTGTCTGGTCAGAAGTATGAGTGCATGGCTGATGCCCAGCTCTGCATGTAGGGGGAGACAGACGTACTTAAGCAGCGTATTGCGGCCATGCTTGGTTACTTGACAGACAGGGGGATTGTCAGGGCTCCTGCAAATGATAGTGCACATGCAAGGATTTGACTTGGCAGTTTTTCCTGTTTCACATTTTGGATAAGCAGCTTTATAAAATCAAGGCTGTTGAATTTTTCATGGCCTGGGTAGCAAAAATATTCAATGTTTTGACCAAAATACTTTCTTAATGAATAGAGTTCTGAGAAAAATCTTCATTGTCCAAGCGCCCTAAGGACACTGAGATCAAGGCAACAGTGCAGACAGTTGAGGTCTACAGTGAAGAGAAGCTAGATGTTTTTGTGAAAATTGACATTAAAGGTATGAAGAAAGGACTCTACTTTTTTTTCTTTTCTTCGGGAAGTCATTATTATTTATTGTTTATAATGTCTATTATTGTGGGATATTTGGATTAATAAATTTTAAATTTACAATTTGGCTTTGAGATTGGCAAATTGGACCTGAATATTCACAGGTAACCAGCCATTAGGTCACCATTATATTCCCTTGTTTACTCATTCCCTGCCATGGCAGCAGGTCACTCACGCCCAAGAAGTATAAAGTGCTCCCAGCCTGTTTCCCAAAAGTGGTCAGTGATGGGTAGACAGCCGCCCCATAGAATGCTTGTCACACTAGAACTGGCCCTGAGACCATGGGACTTGGCCAGGGGTTAGCATCAGCGCTCTGGCTTCTCACCCTCTTCTGCAGACACCTGTATGTTTTACTGAGTTGTGTTTGAAAAAGAGCCAAATTTAGAAAGTGGGTTTTAAAACCTAGAATTCGTCCCTTTCAATTTTGTTAATACATTCTCCGCGTATTTGTTACGTGCTTAGTTTACTATGAGACAGTTGCCTTGCATTTCTTAGCAAGCGTGAAATGAGCTTGTTTTCCTGAAAGATACAATACGGCTGCACATTTGGGTGAGCACTCCTGTCTCGTCTCAGGCTCCGTCAGTGAATCTGAATCGGTTGTGTTTTCAAATCGCCTATATTCTTAGACTTTTTTCTTTTATTCTGTCAGGTACTGGAAGAAATACATTCTAATCTTCCAGAATAATTGTGAATTTGTCTCTTTTTCCGAGCTGCCAGTTTTTGTTTCTATATTTTAAGTCTTTGTTTTTACATACATTCAAATTTAAAAGTGCTCTACTCTTCCTGGTTAATTGAAATTTAATCATTATGAAATGTCCCCTTTTTATCTCTAGTGATGCTTTTTGTCTCAAAATTTGCTGTGTAAGATATTAATACAGTATACATACGTCACTTATTAAAGGCTAATGTAAATTAGTATTCACACTACTTTCTGTATCAGGTAAATAGTTAGAACATTATTCCCTTCTTGACATATGGTATTGGTGTCATATATTTTAGTTCCATATGTAGTTGACATGCTCAATCATTGCTGTTTCAGAGTCAGCGTTCATTTAAGTTAATCCACATATTTACCTTTTTCATTACTTTTTTCCCCCTTCTTGTCCTTTAAGTTTCCTTCTAGAATCTTTTTTTTTTCTCCCCTAACTGAAGAACACCCTTTAGTGTTTCTTTTAGTGTATGTTTCCAGGTGACAAATTCTGTTTTTGTTTGTTGGAAAATGTCTTTATTTTGTTTTCATCTTTTAAAGGTATTTTTACTGAGTATAGAAGTGTCAACTGGCAGTTATTTTCTATTAGTATTTTGAAATATTTTGTTATGATTTGTTCATCGTTTTGTTGAAAAGTTAGCTTCCAATCTAATTACCTTTGAAGGTAATTTGCTTTTTAAAATTCTTTTCTCTCCTTTACAATTTATGTCTTAGGCTGTCAGCAGTGGGACAGTGAGATGCTTAGATATGATGTTCTGTGTATTTATCCTATTTGGAGTTTGCAATGTTTTTTACAATCTGTACCTTAATGGATTTTTTTGTTTGGTTTTTTTTTTTTTGCACATTTGGGGAAATCTCTAGCTATTATTTATTCAAATGATGCATCTATTTCATTATCTTCCTGTGCTTCTCCTAGTGATGACCCGACTGTCCAGGTCCTGTTATCCCTTTGCTTTGGTGGTTGTTTCTCTTGGGTTTTGATGATGTCTTGTCTCCTCATGTACCTGGTGATTGTAAATCAACTGCCTAGACACTGTATGTTAAAAATTGTAGATGTAATTAGACGGTCTGGATGATACCATCATTTAGAGAGGATTTGCCTTTGCTTCTAACACGTGCAGGCTAGGAATACAAGCAATCCCTGATTGCCTTCCTCCAATCACATATTGAGCTTATTCAAAACTGGGCTTCAGTCCCTGTGAAGGCTTGTCTATTTTTTTTTCCTGCTCTTATTCCTAAGGGATACCTCCACTGACTTAACAAATTTGGGAGATCTATCAGCCCCTCCTCCTTAGAAGGAACTTAATTCTATTATTTGTCCTTTAGTCCCACAAATTTGTAAAAAAAACAAAACAAAACAAAAAACAAACAAAAACAAAAAAAAAACTGTCTTAAGCCTCTCTTGACCAGTATTTGCTTTAAGAATTAGCAAACACTTTTTAATCAAGAGTTCCAAATTCCAGAGGTTATATCTTATCTCTAAACTTATTCCTGCAGTTTCTCACCTCTTTGGTAGCTCTCCAATGCTTGCACAAAATTAAGTGTGTTTCGTACTTTCTTCCACTGTTTTCAGTTCTCGGAGCGCTGATACAGACCACCTGCTCTGCCATTAGCAGAAGTTTTCAATTCACTGAGCTAACTATTCCTATTTAAGGAATGCAGAGTCTGGAAGTATATTTTTTAAATTACCAGAACTTTCCAAACTAACCTAAAAATGAAAGTGCTCTGATTTGCAGTATTACTTTACTCTTACTTTTTGTTGCTGAAAGCTAAGGCATTCACTCTTCTGTTAAAGGCTTTATAAACTTTGATATACACAAGAAATTTACTTCTGGTGGTGTCAAGTTGTATTATGGTAGCTGCCAAACTTTAACGAAAGGAGGAGACTGTCTAAGAGCCTCGCAGATTTCTTTAATAGTATTTTTTTTCCCCTTTGGATAATTAATAGAAAATTAAGTTAATGAAAATTGGTGTTAAGATTCCAGGGATTTGAAAATAACATGATTCTCAAGCTTTTCGTTCTCAGGTACATTAATAAAATACATTTCTACTTTACGAAGCCAAGAAAAAAAAAATAAAGAGCTACTTTACCTTTTGTAAATACACTATTAATCTCTAGGGGAAAGTAAGATTTTTTTTTTGTTGACTTCCAGGTATCTCAAGAGGCACTTGGGAATTGGTTGAGGAATGGATGATGGGAAATTATCAGTGGAAAATGAGAGCTAAATCTTAAATAGGCGAACTTCAAGGTCAGTATGGATTGACTGGGGGCAATGTGGGATACGGACTTGACTAGGAAAGTAGTATGAGTTAGCCATGTCTTTTTATGCCAGTACTATGATACAGTTCATTTGTATTTACAGCAAAACTATTTTAAGACAGTTATACAATATACATTTTTTAAACGCACTTTATTTAATTTTTCATGAAGGAATCTCATTCTGTGAATTCAGTAAATGTAGAAAACCTTTACTCAAGCCAGTATTTAATTATGCGTCAGGGTCTACGGCCATACCACCCTGAACGCGCCCGATCTCGTCTAATTATGCGTCAGGTAATTCATAGGGGAGAGGACTTCTTTTGTCTGATTAAATATGGGTAGCACGCAGTCACAAATAAATACTTTGTTATGAAACTCATTTTGGAGAGAAAAACCTATAAAAGCAGTGACTGAAAGACACTATACCTGAAAGTTATCAGAAAACTTCTGCTAGAGCAAGATGAATATATTAAATATGAGAATAGCTTCATTCAGAAATGTTTTCAGTATTCAGTATTTATACACGAGTAAAACTGTGTATTTCTTGAAAGTGAAAAAGTCTTCTCACCAAAATCAGAACCAATTATAAGTTACTCATACTACAGAAGAGCCCTATGATTATTGTATATTTTATGTCAAAAAGTCTTTGTCCATGAGTTATAGCTTACTGGGTATTAGGTAATTAACACATCATTTTCTTCAAATGCCATAAAATTCATACTGGGAAGAAACTATATTTGATACAGTGGAAGAAGCCTTTCTAGAAGCAAATAACACATGAAATATTATTCACTTTGTTTATTGGTTTAATTTCACGCCCATGTCTCTAGAACCTGTGGGGACAAATACACCAGTCCAATGGTCACCTTTCTTTTAATTAAAAAATATATATATTTAGACACCCATGCACACACTTAAAACTTTGATAAACATGACTTATATTTTATCTCTTGAATTTTGTACTTTCTCCATTCACCAACTCCAGCCATCAACAGTCAACAGATAAGCAGTGTTGATGAACTTATTGTAATTTTTTTCTTTTTACTCAAAATCACGTAAAGACACATACATATGTTACCATGTGCTCATATATATGAGTGTGTTTCCATTGTCTTAAACTGGGATTATATCATATACACAGTTTTGCATCTTTTGCTCTCCACAGTACTATCAACAACTGAAGTGTCCATGGTATGGGCATGCCATAATTTGTTCCAACACTTTACCACTGTTTATTCACATTTTTGTCACTAGGAAAAGTGATCTGATAACCATCTTCAAGAGGTGACATAGCATAAGGGGTTAGTGGACAGGCATAACCATACCCTTACCTACTGGAGCTTTTTTTCCTTTTTTTCTTCCCTGTAACATACTTCTTAGTGAGACTGATGGACTGAACAGTGTTTTCTCATTTTAATAGAAGTTGCTAAATTTCTCTGGAATAGGACTAGCATTTTGTATTTCTAACACTAGTATAAAATGTGCCCTTCCCCTCTGTTAAACATAGCTGTTACTTTTTAACTTTGAAGAGTTTTATGATTTCAAAGTGGTAACTAGT